AAAAATTTCAAAAACAAAACAACATTTTGAGAAAATAATAAATAGGTATATTTGACAATCGTAAGTCCATATATCGTGCCATTTCTTTAAATAAAAGTGTAATTGTCAATAAACTTAGGAAATAACAATAAGTTGCACAATAAATTTTCTAAGCAAACAAGTAATAATTTAATTATGCTCACAATAGCCTTTACAAACATAAATATACATATGTACTTTTATTTATAATAAGTGCGTTGTTTTAAACTCTAAGCAAAATTAGCAATTATTTTCATTATCAAAACATTAGAAAATATTGTAATATAAATTTGAAAGTCAATTTATTGCTAAATATTATAATTTTTTTTATCGTTTGCCACAAACGAGTTTTTCGTTACCCGAATCGTTTTACATATTTTTCTCTTATTCAGTTGTCTTTAACATAGCAAATTACTTTAAGTCAGCAATAAAACGAAATAGGCATACGAAATTAGTGGCCTAGGCGGCGTAGGTATATAGATATTTGAGAATCTCACAAGCTTCTAGCATTCTCCACGCAGGACTCGCAGCAAAATAGCTCATTCGCAGAATACAATAAATCTTCTAAACTATGTTTTTTTGTTTTATATTGTATATATACGTTTGTATTTATATGTATAAACAGCAAATACATTAATTCGTTTTGTTTGTATGTAAATACCTACGAGCGTAAATGTAAAATACGCAGTCTGTTTTCAAATCGTTTACTACCAAAAAATTGTTTTACTTTTAATCAGCAATTGTTATGTCTTTGTTATACATATTTATATAATAATATTGTTTTTGTTTTTTCATTTTGCTTTTTGCACATTAACTTTTAATTGTTTATTGTGGCATCTTTATTGTTGTGTCCATTTTCAATGGTTTTAATATTATTGGCAAGATGCGATTGTTGTTGCGATTGATTTTGTTGTTTGAGTTTTTGTTTTTGCTCCAAAACGGACTTGTACGTGTAAAGCGACTGTAGTGGCACATGTAATAACTCAATGATTTGTGTGAAATGAACTTCTGCAAAAAAAAGTGGAAAATGAAAGACAATTAGAGTGAGCAATAAGGCATTACTTTTAAAATTAAATAGGTCAAAAAAATTGTGCAACTAAATCATAATAAACACAGAGCCTAATAGATGAATATTGACTTTTATAATAATAAAAAAAATATTAACTCATCAATCTCTCGTCGTATACCTTTGGTAGTCTGTGCTCTAAGCCACATGGTAAACCCTACCGGTTACATCNATTTATAAATAATAAAAAAAAAACATTTTGTAGCTAGTAATATATAGAAAACTAAATTATAATAACCGCAGAACTTAATGATCTCAATATTGACTTTTATAATAAAAAATATTAACCTAGCCTTAAAAAATGTATAATAAAAAAACATCAACTTCGACAGCGCCGACGCTATAATACCCTTTACAGCTGCATTTCATATAGCTTACAAGCGTAAAAAAGATCTTTATCTTAACTTTGATCGCTCCGTTTGTATGGTACCTATGTGATATAGTGATCCGGTCTAAACAATATGTTCCCGAGATTGTACAGTTGCCTTGCCAGCGAAACCTTGTGAAGGTACCTTTTCAAATAAAAAGGTTTTCCATACAAGGACTTGATTTTGATCGATCAGTTTGTGTAGCAGCTATATGCTATAGTAGTTCGATTTGAATAAATTGTTCGGAGATTGTAGCGTTGCATTGAACAAAAATTCTTGCTACATTTCGTTAAGAAATATTGTAAAATAAAAAAGTTTTCCCTACAAGGATTTGATTTTAATAGGTCAGTTTTATGCCAAAAATATTCTATAAGTGTGCGATCTGAGCAATTTTTTCATAGATCATGGCGCTGTATTGATCCATATCGAATTTCGTGAGGATACTTTTTCAAATACTATAAACAAGTTTTCTATAGGACCACTTGATTTTTATCGATCAATTTCAGTGAAAGTTATATTTAAAAAATTTCTCTTCGGGAGAAAAGTGTAAAATTTCAGATCGAAATCTCAAAAACTGAGCGATTAATTTGCGTTATTCGCGTTTCCTTCTGCGTGTTTCATACTTCAAAATTAGTAAACACTGTTGAGGAAACAAAAATCAATAAAATAATATCAAAAATTAATACAGAAAAATTTAAGTTACTAACTCTCTCTCTACTAACTTTCACAACAATAACTCACCATTTTCAGGCGTTATATAGCCATGTCTAATTAGAAAATCGATAACGACCGGACAGCTGGTTGTCTTGAAATCCGGTGTAAATACACGTTCCACACACTCTTTGGCTGGTAATAGCTCAAAAGCTTGCACCTCACCATCAGCATTTTGTGGTACAAAATCCAATGGCAGCTCTAAATCGAAAACATATTCGGTATTTGGGAATAAACCTTGATCACTTTCGAAGAAGAATGAAACACAACCGGCTGAAACGAGATTTTTGACCAGATCACTTGGAATGGATGCCTCTTCAGCTGCCTCTTTAATAGCAGTCTCTTTAATGCCATAGCCCACCGATAAACCGCCGCCAACCATATTATCCCATTTACCCGGCCATGTCTCTTTGGTATTAGAACGTTGTTGTAGCCAAATACAAAGACCCTGCGTTGGATGTTGTACATAACCATTAATATCTACACCATACTTGCGTACACCAAATAATGGTGTGGCCGAACGATCCATTTTCAATAGGCTACGATACTCCGATTTCACTTCATAATACTGTAATGCATTGAAAATTTCTTATTATACATAAGTTGCAGTTTATATGGTAAACAAATGGCAATAATTACCTCATCACGCCAACCTTGGAGTGCGGAAAAAATGCCCTTAGAACGTAAGTCACGTAATACTATATCGACTTGCTTTGTGCGTTCAGCATAGTCACGGAATGCAGGATTTAACTCGACTATACCCTGTTTAAAGTAATTGAATTTAGTATTTTAATTTAAAAATTCATTTCAACAGCCTGGAGCTTACCTGTTTGGTAAATTCACAATTGCGTATGCAGAATATTTCGGGAAAACGTTGCAGCTGCTTGATGACATCGGCCTTGACAAGACCAACTTGTTCGCCTTCAACCAGGAATGGACGTATGTCTCCCTTTTGAAAACCTGCAAAGAAATGCCGTTTAATTTATTTAAATAAAAACAAAATCAAGAAAATGCAATTTTTATAGACGCACATAACTAGTAATGCATAAAAACCAGTTTTTGGTATTCGAAGCAAAAGAGGGAGACAGTTTGAATACTGTTCAATACAAATTTTAACTTCTGAGCTACTAAAATAGACAACATTTGTACAATAACATATTATTTACAAAAATCGACACTTAAAGGTTGTCATAGCAAGAATAACCATACTGAGCGTAATCAAAAAATTAAATATTGTTTTTTTTTTTTATAGCCCGAACAGTGTATATTAAGTTTCTTAGGAAGTTTGTAATACCCAGAAGAAAATGTTGGAGGTTCTTTAAATTATACATATTAATTGTCAAAGTGACAAGATGAATCGATTAAGCTATGTCCATCTGTCTGTCAGCATATACCCGAACTAGTCTCTCAGTTCTAGTGATATCAATTTGAAATTTTGCTAATGTTTTTCACCACTTAAAAAGTTGCTGATTTGTCGCTATCACTGATATCAGATCATAGTATACATATATAGTATATATTTAGCTTTTTATATGGAAGACTTTTTTATTTTACAAGCTATCTTCACGAAATTTGGATTCTAATAATGTCGAAGGCAGCGCTACAATATTCTAGCATATTGTTTAGATCGGACTACTTTAGCATAAAGCTGTCACACAAACTGAACGTTTAAAATCAAAATAAAAATGTTTTGATACCCTTTTAAGTTAAAAAAAAAATGCTGCTGGGAAGGGTGTTATGGTTTCAATGCAGCCACAGTAAATGTTTTTTTTCTTATTATTTGTTTATATTTTTTTTTAGCAGATTAGATAAGTATGTACACATATGTATGGGTATGCATACCTTTGGTCAGTTTTTTCGGCATACGAATGGTCAAACAAAGAGAAACCAGCAAATTAATTGTTTATAAACTGCGACTTTGCACAGAATAGTTGCGAATAATAAACAATGAGCAGCTGTAAAAAATATCAAACTGATACGAAAGGTAACAAATAAATGCATAAAATCCATTTAATCAAACGTTTTCAAAGTATAAATTGTTTTAAGTCGCAAAGTAAGATAATTAGTTATTACTGGGTATTAAATTGCTCATTCTTTAAGCTTTTGACTACATGTTTATGTTTTTATATACATACAATTTGCAATCAATCGTGCTACTTTCAAGAATTTACAATGGAATTATATTCTATACTTTTTAGCAGCTGTCGTGAGTCGTAACCAATCAAGTTCTGGTATAAAATGATTTATATGCATTTATTTATCTAACAAAAATTGCAAATTTATACAAAATAAACATGCCGTCAACGTTAGTTAGTACAATTTATTAAAAATACATATTTATTATTTTATGATAATTTTTAATAAAAATCTTTGCTTATATAAATTAGATATAAAAAATTGCATTTAGTCTCAGCAAAATTATAACAACCCAATCAATATCGTTAATTATGTTTCTATTCACAATTTTATTCTATTAGTGAACCATCTCTCTAATAGCTTTCCTACATATACAGGTACTATTTATATACGACACAATCTGTGCAGACAGATCCTCGCAGTAAAAATAGGTATGTTTGTGTGTGAATGCATATTCAACGATTTGTCTATTTGTGGTCGGCATATAGGAATCTTTGTGTGTACACTACACAATGTCAAGCTCATTCAAGGTGACTTAGAAAATTATAATTGTTGATGGCGCCAAGTATGGTGAACAAAGTTGTTGGTCCTTCTTCCGGACTCAATGCTATTGGTCTGGCACAGATTGTGATAGATGTGTTGGCCATCAAGCGAGTAATTGAGTATAGTCTTACACATACATATTTTCTATGTACACAGTATGTAGTTGTCAAAGCCAAACACGCTAACAAACTTTATTTGGCAGAAAATGATAATGAATGCACTTATGTACATTCTATCACAATGCAGCTTGGTGTATATGCCAACTGTGCCAGGCGACGTCATGTAGAATTATGACTCACAATTGCGACCTGATCGCATCTAAAGTGTGAGTGAAGATATTTACTTTATTTTCTAGTATCTATGTTTTATTATAGAAAATTTATGTGTAATGTAAGATAATAATTGTATATAATAAATAATAACTACCTTACAGTTTTATACTAATACCTCTAACTTTTGTATATTTATGAATCACTAAAGATAGCTCAAAATGTCTAAAAGATAGCTTAGAGATCATTGTTTATATTAACACTTTTATGGCATGAAAAATAATATATATAAGTGCATGCACTAGGTACGCCAAATGTTAGGTTTGGAAATTAATTATTAGCGTATCATACATTATTCACTCATATTCCGCATGATATGACTTAGATGAAAGTAAGCATCGAATATTGATTAGCGAAGGACGGTAGTAAAATATGTGAAATAGCCGCAAACAAAAAGAGTACAAGCAAAATAATGCAAAATTTATATATAAAAATATTAACGCATCATTGTATATAAATACTTGCGAATTATCACAAAAATAAAATAGGACAGACAGGCAGGCGAATGGCCGAAGATAATTACATGGATACTTTTGGTGATAATAACAATATCAGATGGTTGATTCAAAAAATCAACAAAAATACTTAATCAATTTTGGTTGCAAATACAACACACATATTTTTTTTTTAATTTGACAGGAAATGAGGATTTCTCGCTTAATTTGTATATCTGTTTATATACATATATATATACATAATAGTGAAAATGAGGATTTGTAGAACAATATTTTTTTATGTAGAATGCGGCTTTGCGGAATATATGGTAGGCGTTATACCAGGAATTTATACCGATGTGCAAAATTTGAGACCGTCTACAGTAAAAAGTGGGTATTTTCGGTTTTGTCCTTTTTCACTCTGAATTAGTTATGTATAAGCTACACTGTGCTTACTGGCCACACCCAAGAGCTTAAAACATATAAAATTTGGAACAAAATTAAGACATTGGAAGCATTTATAAAAAATTGTTGCGTATAAGAACATACTAAGTATATTTAAGTAATGCGGGACTAAAAAATAAATAATATTGTAAGTGTGAAAATATGAGTTTTTAACAAGTCTTACGACAAGTCCATATGAAATATTTGCACATATGTATATATTTTCTACATTTCTGGATGAAATCTGCCTAATCAGGATAATGACTACTTTGCAACATTATTTATAATACATTCCAAAGTTAGAACAAATTTAAGATTGTCCTAGTTCATCATGAAATATTGATATATGCATATTTTTTCGTTCCTTGTGTTGCTATACATACCCGAAGGACAATCTGATACTGTGAATTTTACATACATACTAACATTAAGTTTGTACACAAATCGATGAAAGGATATGATTATTTTTGCCTGTGGGAATTCTGTGCATTTATATTTACTGCTTTACAGTTTTTCACTTTTTCATTATTATATAGGTGTTATCAGTTATTAAAACTAATAACTATATTTGTTATGGCATACCTGTTAAGTAGAAATTGTTAAACTTCTGCGCCAAATGGTAAAGTCGGGACAATTTTACATTTATATCAGTTGAAGCCATCGCCAAAAACCCCAGCTTCTCCACTACGCCACTCACGGTACTCTCGCAAAGCCTTTATGTAATTTTTCAGTTCCTTCGAATCTTTTATAAATCTCACCCAATGTAGTTTCTATTTAATCGCACCGAATTTCATCACCAATAAAGATGAGAGCAACCAACACATCAGAAAACAACTGACTGGTGGGATGGGAATTCGGTTTGTTGAGAACAGTTCGCCACTGCCAATTGTCACTGTTCGTTTTGACAGTTTATCAATTGTTTTTGTATCATGTTTTCTTTTATAAATTTTTCTTCTCAATAATATTTGTTTATTAGATAAATATTATATTAATATTTATTTAACAGATTAATTACGTTTGTTATGCGCTCAAAATATATATGTATTTCTTTTAATTTTTTTATTAAAAACTATTTATACTTGTTTTAATTCACAATAGCACCAGATGTGAATTAATCCTATTGAATATTTTCGTTAAGATTCGGCGCACATGTACTTGACGTTTGCTGTCATCGCCGTAGGGTCGAAAAGAACGAGAAAAAATTACAACTTAGTACCAGCTACAAAATATAGGCAAAATTCTTACAGAAAGTTGAGTTTTTATAATCTAATAAGTGGACACATAACAATGAGTGAAGACTATTTGAGTCAGCCAATCTCGCTGGGGTCGTCATCATCAGGTAAGCGCTCCTCATGCATAAATACGGTACACAATATACAGGGTGTACATTACGCAATTATTGTCACCTAGTGTGTAATCACATTACAATGTATTTCCTTTAAACATTGATATTGTGTGAATGTAAATGATTTTATTATCTTAACTAGCGGATGAGGTACGTCCCAATCGTTCGAGTGCAACAACCAGCACATTTGGTACACCCGTTTCTCCATATTTGAATTATAACCCGCGTATATTGCAACAAGCACAGCCAGAATTTATTTTTCCGGAAGGTGCTAATAAGCAGCGCGGACGTTTCGAATTGGCTTTCTCACAAATTGGAAGTTCAGTAATAGTGGGTGCAGTAATAGGCGGTGTAGTTGGCTATTATAATGGTATGAAAACAACGGCGGCATTACAACAAACAGGCAAACTGAGGCGAACACAGTAAGCTTAATATAAATTCTTTGTATTTGATATAAATATGTATTTTACTAATAAATTTTTTAAATTTTAGATTACTTAATCATGTGTTGAAACAAGGCTCTGGCACCGCCAACACACTGGGGACACTTGCCGTCATGTATTCAGCGTTCGGTGTACTTCTGCAAAATGTTCGAGGAGAAGACGACGATATCAACACAGTTATTTCCGGCACAGCAACTGGACTGTTATACAAATCGACAGGTGAGTAGTTAAAACATGTTTTGCTACTAATTCATTAAATACATATTCTTTATTATAAAACAGCTGGCCTTCGAAAATGTGCAATAGGCGGTGGTGTAGGTCTAGGTGTATCAGCTGCGTATTGCCTGATCCAATTGATGCGGGCAAACTCAAATGGGTCTGGTTTAAAATTCCTGTAAATCTATATCTATGAATTGCATAAAAACTGAACTGGACAGTGGCATACTGACTGCGAAATTTTCTATATACGATAAGTGGTTAGCGGCTAGTAGTGACTAGATAACTCCATATAGTGGAGATGAATGGAGTTGCGTATTCCCCTATGTAACGCGCTCAAACGTACATAGCAAATTTAAGTTGTAAGTTTTCCTTGCTTTATAACTTTTATTTTTTAATATTATTAGTTATTAGAATGTGATGAGTTAAGTTGAACAAACTAATACCGAAGACAATTTGCTTAATAAGTAATTATAATAGTACAACAATATAAAAGCAAAAATTCACACAAAATTCTTTGTGCATTAAACGGAAGTGTGTTTACATAAACTTAAAAAACTAGTTGTACAGAAAATCATAGAAATATAAAATTGAAAATGATCACCGAAATAAAGCCAAACGCTTTGCGTATGTCAAGACAAGAATTGCGAAAAGTGTTTTTTCTTTCATAATAAAATATGGAGGTTAAGTGATTTCAACGAGTTAAAAATTAAATCAATAAAAATATAAATTGTGTTATTGCCCTGTGAGTTAAATACATGTAAATATTATATGTATATGCAATTTGTGCGCAATGAAAAACGAAAATTTTAAAACTTTTCAAGTTTTATTTGCTGATAACAATGTTTAATCTTTTTTACTTATTATTGTATAATTTTTATATTTATATATACCATAAAGTATTTTTTATTACGCCCTGCAACGCTGCCCCTTTGTTTATTGGTAATAACGTAGACATTTACATTTAATTGCATAATTCAAAGGCATCCGAAATGTTTACTGTTGCATCCATTCACTTTAAAATGTATAATTTTATTGTGTTTTTAAAAGTCCTGCATCGCTGCCCTCAATTTAAAGCAAACAGCAACCGATAGTAACAAGTTTATAGTAAATCGATATATATGTAATTTAATAATATAAAGCATTATATAAAACAGAAATGCCGAAATCTGCGAACCATTGCACTGCTTAAAGTTAATAATCTAAAACATCAGAATCGGAACCAGTTAAAGCTAACACCTTCATGCCGGACTTCTCATCGATTATATTGTTCACCGGCGCTTCGCAACTGGTATCCAAAGTAGAACATGTATGACAATGACAACTGCCAGCTTCCATATACTCATAACGACGCGTTTCCTACAGCAATAAAGCATACAATATAGTAAAATAATCTAACGTACATATAGTTTTTACTCACTTCATCGGCTTCCGGATGGCAATTTCGCAGCACCGCTACAGCTGGTTGGCGTGTTGCATGTACACAAACGGGATGAAAAGAACGTTTGTATGGGAATTTCCAATCGGAAATCTCACTGGAGTCACAACGACCCCAACAAGAACGTACGCTCACATAATCCCAACACTCGCGACCCTGTGCATCCGCTTGTGTGATGCGGTATGTATAAAGCCGTTGGTGACAGCCAAGTGGTGCTGTTGTGGGACTGCTGTCGATCGGTTGTGCCTCCAGTAATTGACTCAATGACGGTGTTGCAATTGTAACTAACGCGACAAGTGCAAAGGTATTCAAATATTTATTCTATATGCCAAAAAAATATTTTATACGCTTTAGCAACCGTTATAAAAAAATGTATTTAATAATGTATGTGTAAGTATGAATTTTGTGCTAATACCATTTCAGTGACCGTTTTGCGCTTATGATGATAGCTCTTTGCGGCGCACAGTAGCGAGCTGTTATGCAGAGCAGCGTAGAGAATGAAATGACTTGCATTTGCCTGTTGCGCCAGTCTTTTATACGTTTAAATTCTCTTTATTTTGTCTATGTGTAATGTCAAGAGGAAGCATGAAGCATTGTTTTGGCAAATCCTGTTACGCATCTAAGGACACGTAGAAAACGTGTCTGTGTGTACTTATAAAATATATCAGTGAAAAATTCATACAGTTGAAAAGCTTGCAGACTCTTTTCGGCTTTTTTCTTCTAGTAATGGATCATTTAGGATAATCTTGTAGTTGTTACACGATATAAAACGACGTTTCGTGACTTACACCAGATTATACGAAAACAAAAAGCCGTTACACCGACAATCGGGTCTACGTAACCGGAACGGAAGCGGACTTTTTATCCGGACTCTCAACCGCAGCGAGAATGTCCTTTAGAAATAAGTAAGTTTTTATACAAGAACTTATTTTTGATCGGTCGGTTTGAATGGTAGAAATATGTGACATTTCAATCCTGTTATTGAGCTATAAAGTGATATATTTTCAAAATACATGTCTTCATCTTGGGCTATAGTGGTTTAGGTTACCAAACTTTTATTAATTTTGATTTTTTTAAATATCACTAAATATAATTTTGTACAATTGCTTAAAAATTTGGTCAACATTACATTCAATGCCAAATGATGTAAAAAGTAGAAGTTAAAAAATATCATCGTTTTTGCTCGTGAGCAATTCATACACTCTCTGTTCCGTCATACGAATGCATTCGTTCAACTAACTAACTTCGATATCACTCAATCCGTTGCTGTCACTACTGCCAAGCGCTGAAATTTTGTCATCAATTTGAATAAGTTCCTTTCCTCAATAATTTATTTCGATTTTTAAATCAGTATATCCGTAACCATGTGCTTTTTCGTGTGTTCGATTCGTTATATGGATTCAGCTTTCATACTTCACATATTTGGTTTTTGGATACATTCTTCCGTTAAGTACCGTTTTGACATGGTTTAATATTCATTCATATTACAAAGAATTTGTTTTTGTTATATATTATATTTTAAATTTTATTGTCACTTCTTGAAGATCAGCTGATCCACTTCATAAAGCAGCTACCAGAATTTTGTTCGATTTCGCAGGCATTGGTAGCTCTCTTTTTAACCTGTTAAACTGGCTCCTCAGGCGCGTCGTCGTATCTCATGGTGTGAACCGAAACGTTGCGCACGCAATTGTACGCGAAACCGACGATTCGGATCGGGTCGCAGATCTTCGTGCCGGTCCTCAATGACTGGCGCAAGTGCTGCCGCTGCGGCAATATCTATGCCAGCTGCATCTTCTTCATCGTCGGCATCGTCATCCTCATTCGGACTATCGTAATCATCCATAGCGGCATCCTGCGCCTCCACTAAGGCATTCGACATAGAGATGGTCTCCGCATCCCGTGCCATAGCGCTTGCCAGCAACCGTTGACGTCGTTCCTCCATCAAACGATGACGCTCCTTGTGTATGTAATCACGTTTATTCGGCAAGCCGGCTACATTGTTGGCCGTGAGCGCCGAGCGCACCACATTCATGTCGGTAGCTTCCATCCTGCGGTTTAAAAGCGCTATTATTTGCTCTAAATAAAGTAGCGCATAACATAGTAACTTTTCCAAACTTACCACTCGTCCGTCTCGGCAACGTAACATTCGGTGTGTGATATTGTGGACACGCCATTGAAGCCGCCAATGGCGAAAATCATATCATCTATTATTTCAAGTCCAAAATTACTACGCGAATGATTCATTTCGCGTATGAACGACCAGGTTTGTGTATCGGGATCATAACGTTCGCCTGTGGATAGCCGCGCCGTGCCATTAAAACCGCCAATCACATAAAGTTGTCCACGAAAGGCTACACAAGATACGCCTGAGCGACGATGATTCATATTCGGTATACGTGTCCAGATATTGTTGCCGGGATCGTAATATTCGGCACTGTCCAAACACTCTTGACCATTGAAGCCTCCTACATATGCAGAAATAGAAGATACTCATTAGTGGCGGAGATATGAACTCACGGTAAGGAAGAAGGTACAAATTTTAAGTAGAGAATTGTCCACAGTACTGTCTCAATATCTTATTATCTAGTAGGAAAGAAAGGTATTATCTTAGGAACCAGTTGCTGTGTTTATCAATCGATATTAGAGAGCTTTCCAGCTCGTCTAACTATTCGAATGTCCTTTCGATTTTATACCATCAGTTAACTAGTTAACCACATCTTTGATGTCATTATAATAATGAAGTGTCTTAGAAGTATTTACTACCCTTGAGTTTTAACTGCCGTATTTAATAAAATATCCATGGATACAAAGCTCTACAGAGATCTCGAGGTTGATACCTCTGAAGGCTCTGGGCAGGTTGTTGTTATTTTAGCGGTGCTTAGGTGGCGAAGCGTAAGCTAATTGTCATCTATCTGGCGGTTCAAAAATGTATTGTTTCGACAGAGTCCGAGCATAGGGAGAGGGGTGTTAGACAAGTTCGTTTCATAGGCCATGCAAAGAGATGGCTAGAGACATGCTTAAACATATTGAGAAGTTTCACCTGACCTGTACCGATTGTGAAAGCGACATTCCAAACATGGCACTAAAAAAATAGCTAACGCTTAACCTTAAATAAAAGCAATTTCGACTTCCTTTACTCCTCCTTCGTCTCATTCCCTTTCGTCTACATTTTATTCATGTCTTTTATAAAGCAATAAAAATAAAAATGCAAATCTTGTCTTAAAATAAATTTCTTCGAAATAAGCGTGACTATTTTGGAATGCGTCATTAAGTCAGCAACCCTCTGTCCATACTTTCACTCACCCGTTGCATAAATTTTCCCCTTTAATGTGCATGCGCTGGCGTCAGATCTTTGCATATTCATAGGCGTTATAACGGTCCACTGATTCGTTTTCGGATTATAACGCTCGACTGTATTTAAACGATTATGACCATCATAGCCGCCGATAGCGTAGATAAGACCGTTAAGCTCAGCGACGCTAACATAGCAGCGACGACAGTGCATTGGTGCAATCTAAATGGAGTAAAAGGAGTAAATGTTAACAGAAATTAAATGAAACATTTTTTTTTGTAAATGTGAAATGAAAAACAAGAAGGTCAAGACGGCGGCTCTGATATGTTGTAAGCTGCATATGGCTTTAGATTTGGAATTTTTGAACGATTAATTTGTTACTGGAAGACTTCATGTAAAGCTAAGAATCCGGACCCTCGACCGATGGTGCCGTCATCGAAAAGAACTCGAGAGGCTTTTGTGACCAGGGACAAGATTTAATTGAAACTCAGAGATTTCTGATTTGGTTAGACTATAGAGAAAAATATGCGGCTTGATTTTATGAGATTTAAAAGAGCTCGAGAGTTTTTCGCTACCAAGGACTAATTTGTTCATATAAGTGGATCAAGATTTAATTGAAATTCAGAAATTGTTATTAGTATGAATAGTTATTATAAGTATGAATAGAGAGATTTGGCTTGGTGCTATGAGATTGCAAAGAACTTTACAATTTTTTGTGACTAAGGACTTTTCTTTTCATATAAGTGGATCAAGATTTATTTGAAACTCAAATATTTACTGCGTTGGTATGACTATGAATAGAGAGATAAGAAGATTTCTCAATTAATATCTATTTTAATTTGATAAGAAATTACATTTTGACTCACCTCCTTCCAATTCTTGCGCACCGCATCGAAGACACGACACGTATTGAAATATTCAACACCATCATAACCACCAATCGAATAGATTTTATAACCAATGACAGCGGTGCCATGATAAGCACGAGGTCCGGCTGGATCTTCGGCCGGTATATTGACCCAACGATCGGCACGCGTATCATATGTTTCGATGCAACCCTTTGATGTGCCGCCACTCCAGCCGCCAATGGCGAAGATGACCTCATGCGGCAGACGTGGCATGGCTAACGGTGGTGTGGTGAGCTTTTTGGAAAATGGCATACGAAATGGCACATATAAATTAGAGCTGATCGAAGGAGAAAGAGAGAGAGGAAGGCATATATAATTGGTAAATACCTCGCCCGATGATGGATTCATTATATCCAAATCATACATAAATTTAAATGTCTCCACAATCAATGGCTTCGCATCGTCACACTGCAGCACATACGGATGCTCCTTCACCTCGTCCATGAAACACTACCGAAAGAGAGAGAGATTAGCGAGCATGATTAGTTTTTTTGTACATGAAGGACATATGCATATACTCGTAGTTGTAACTTCTGATCAAATCCGACTCGGATTGGACTTTAAAAAAATGTTCTCACATTGGCACAACATTTTCATTTTCGTGTAAAGTTAGATCTCTACTGTTTGGCAGCATGTTTTTTAAGACGCTAGGGGGTTTTCTGGTGACTTTTAGCATTGACAAAAATTGATTTTGTGCTTCCAATGTAATCACGGCTACGAAATCGTTGAAAATATTGCAAAAAAAAAAAAAGGTGAGATAGTCTACTTTATCACGAAGACAAGTATTTGAGTCACACCCAAGCATTTATTGAAAGTTTTAAAGCCACCCAAAACTTGCCCCGGGAGAGCAGTTCATCCATTAATGACAATAACATCGTAAAAGTTAGATAGAGGGTAGCGAGTTTCCACATCTGTGGCTGTTTTTGTAGTAACGGATACATTTAACCCCGTTAGAATGGTAACGATTAGATAAGTTGTCATCGACGTCATCCAACGGTATGCTCAGAAAACGTGCTGTTTCGGATCGTGCTGGGGACGGATCAAAGGGAGAAGTGTGTCAGATGTGTAGGGATAGCAGTGCATGCAAAGAGGTGGATATATGTTTGATATGTCAGCGTCTGTTTTGGATAAGTAGAAGTTTTACCTGCTACAGTAGGTAGCTGTGCAAGGGTTACTCTCGTTTCTCGCGGCAACTTGAGCACATCGTCTGCAATGGGTGGTCGTTTGACTCAAAGTGCGCCATTCACTCTACTCCACTGTGAATGGCGGTCAGTGCATGTCTGAAGTTAG